ACATCATCCTTAGCGCAGATCATGCCATCATCAACATAAATGGGGAGGATGATGCGCACAGCTCCATCAGAATAGATGTAGCATGATCGATCAGACTGGAGACACTGAAATCCCATTTCACATAGCTTTGCACTCAGCTTCTTGTTCCATTGACGGCCAGCCTGCTTGAGTCCATAAAGAGACTTGCGCAGTTTAAGAAGCTGGCCGTGCTCCCCCTGAGGGAATCCTTCGGGCTGAGTCATATAGACATCCTCCTCCAGATCACCATTAAGGTAAGCAGATGAAAAATCAATAGAACGAAGTTTGAGATCATGCTGAGCAGCCAGAGCAAGAATGATGTGGAGTGTTGCAGGTTTAAAGGTGGGGGAAAAAATTTCGTTGTAGTCAATCCCATGGCGTTGTCCGCGGCCATCAGCAACGAGGCGTGCTTTATAACGCTCAATTGACCCATCAGACTTGTGCTTCATCACAAAGACCCATTGAGAACGAATGGGCTTCACATCGGGTAGTGCATCAACAGCATCCCAAGTGCAGTTCTCGAGAAGGGAGCTAATCTCAGAGACTGCTGCTTCTTCCCAAAGATGACCATCTTTTCGCTGCAATGCTTCATGATATGTTCGCGGGTTGCCAGAACGTACAGCAGATAGAGCCAACTGCCCATGGGCAAAGTTAACCCCTTGAAGCAAAGGACTGGTTGGATCACCTTCATGTGCAACAATAAGTGCACTCCCTGGCTGGAGCAGCAACTCATCACCACTGTCCTCGGATTCTGGAGGAATAGGACCAGGTGCTGGCACAGGCAGTTTCCACCACTCCGAAGCAGGCCTGGGCTCTCGTCTCTGGTCATAATGGCGACGGCGTGCAGCAACATTAAACGGAGAAGGAGGAGGTGCTGGCCCAGCTAGAGGCTCATCCGCAGGTAGATTCGGCGAATTAGGTGTTGCAGTATGGATTTGTTCCTTGCACACTAGTCAACAGTAAGAACTCTGTGTTATATTGCATGAGATGAAACTACTTGCCTGGAGTCAACACTAAGAATGAAGATCCAGGACAATGCTACTCTACTTATATACCTACAGGGACAAAGGGAGTAGCTAGAATGGAAACAAAGGAATAGCTAGAACGAGGTACAAAGGGAAAGCTAGATAAGGAACTACAAAGAGATGTCCATATTAAGAACAAGGGAACATCCATATCCAGAACAAGGGAACATCCATATCTGGAACAAGGGAGTATCCATATATGGAACAAGGGACCAGATGTGAAGGGATCAAAGAGGAACAATGATCGGATCACAGAGGATCAGATCAGATCAAAAATGTGAGAATGTTACATCCAAGGTGATTCTCAGCATAAGCCTTGAACACCTGGAATGCCTTGAATGTCCCACTCTTGTGCTTCATATGCATGACTGCTTTGAAGCTAGTATGATCATCAATGAAGATAACACGATATCTGTAACCCTCTCGGGTGAAGAATTTGTATTCCTTCAGATCAGAGTGAATCAAATCAAGGGGTGCGCTGGAGCGATGTCCAGTAGAAGGAAAAGGAGCCGCATTCAGCTTGCCTGCAAGGCATGGCTCACAGATTGGATCTAGCTTCTGGTTTGAAGTGATTTTCGCACCAGTAACCAGATTCTTGCTCAAGATCTTTTGGGTATCAGAATGATGACCAAGTCGACAATGCAACAGGTCTAGATCAAGAGGCAAGGTTCCAACTGCAGACAAGGCTGAATCAGAATCAGGAGCATCTTCTCTCACAAATGCCTGGTTCCTCTCATCAATGTCCGCTTCAAATAAGAGCTCTCCATCTCGACTGAAGGAGATTGTAGATCCCTCCATGAGAACAGAATAGCCATGAATGCGAGACAAATATGTAGTTGAGATGAGATTGTGAGATAAATGTGGAACATATAAGACATTTGTAAGGAGAATACGTCTACAGCTACTACGTCCATGTATACGTGGCCGAAGCAAGATATCCCCCCTCAACTCGGAGTGAACTATTATAACTCCATTTGCGACTTGGATTGGAACTCTGTACGGATGGGCGTGCAACAAACACTTCCGGTTAGGAGTCATGTGCGAAGTGCACCCTGAGTCTGAGTTCCATCGTTCGTCAGCAAGAGGTGAGGTAGAGGAAGCGAGAAGACTTGCATTTGGTGCCACGTAGGACGCTGCTGCTGCACCTTTGCCCTTTTTGCCAAGAAGCTCCAGGAATTTGAAGCAGTTGACAAGTTGGTGATTGGGCTTGCCACATCCAGCGCAAGTAGAGGGCGACTGAACAGGCGGTGCAGCTGCAAGAGCTGCAGCAGGTTGTGCAACCAGGGCAGATGGGGGAGCTGCTGCCATAGCAAGACCAGATAGCGGACTAATCTGGCTGGTATCACCTCCCTGATGATGAGTGCGGTATCCCTGGTGGGTGGAATAGGCATCCATGATGGCTTCTGCATTGAGATCACCCGAAGATTGCTCAAATGGCGACTTGAGTGCAGAAAACCGATGATCATCAGGGAGGGCTATGAGAAGAACTACAGCTTGCAGTTCCTCGTCTGCTTTGTCAAGAGTGAACTCCTTAGAACGGGAGTCTTTAAGACGGCACATAGCATCACGAACACGACCAACGAGGGCTAATAGACTCTCATCTTCCTGGAGATGAATGGAGGTGAGTGTCTTGTAGGCATTGAAGCGAGCTCCAGCCTTCCTTGGAGAAAAGATAGTCTCCAAGGCTTCCCACATTGCTTTAGGGTCGTCCTCATGCTGCTTGCAACGCAAGTAGGCCTTAGCATCGCTCCTCCAGCTCGAGAACATGGTGTCCTTCCCAGGACAGGGATAAGAGCAGACTCTGAGGAGTCGGACATGATGGAAAGGGGAATAGGGAAACGCGCAAAGAGATGGGATGGAAAACTAGAACCAGATGTCAAAAGACAGGTGGCGCCCTCAGGAGTGTGTGTGTGTGAAGTCGGAGATGTAGGTAAAGTAACTAAGTATGTAATGAACACCCAGTTGTAAGGCACTTAGGCCCAAACCCCAGAATCAACAGATTGATCACCGTTTGTTTCCTGGTGGATTCAAAGACTACCTCTCAAAGAGGATTTGTCCCAACAGTTGGTGCCCCTATCTACAAAGAACACACACACTATAAGGGCAGAGAGAGATGTGCAGAAATGCGCAGATGGAGATGAGGGTCTCAGAATAAAGCTTAAGAAACACTCAAAGGGCGGGGCCCATGACCTGTTGAACAGGCAAGCACAGAGGTCTGGAGTCAACAGTAAAAACTCTGTTAGATTGCATGAGATGAAACTACTTGCCTGGAGTCAACAGTAAGCACTGAAGATCCAGGGCAATGCTACTCTACTTATATACCTATGAGGACAATAGAGTAGCTAGAACAATAAGAACAATAAGAACAATAGACACAATAAGATGGCTATCAGGACAATAGAGACAATAGAGACAATAAGATGAATGTCAAGACAATAAGATTGTTATCAGGACAATAAGATCCCGATCAGATAAGAGGATCGGATAAGATCAGAGAGATCAGATAGGATCAGATAAGGAGATCAATGATCACGGATCACAGAGGATCAGATCAGATCAAAGATGCGAGAATGTCACAGTCCATTCACACACTCCAACAGACAATGCTACTCTACTTATATACCTACAGGAACAAAGGGAGTAGCTAGAATGGAAACAAAGGAATAGCTAGAACGAGGTACAAAGGGAAAGCTAGATAGGGAACTACAAAGAGATGTCTATATCAAGAACAAGGGAACATCCATATCTGGAACAAGGGACCAGATGCGAAGGGATCAAAGAGGATCAATGATCGGATCACAGAGGATCAGATCAGATCAAAGATGCGAGAATGTCACAGTCCATTCACACACTCCAACAGGGTGTACATGGTCCCTGTAAGACAGTTAGAGGACGAATACTAGACTAACCGAAAGAGAAAGACTCACCAGCAACAGCAACCAGCATTAGCTTCTGCCTGCAACTGAACCAGTCTAGGAACATCTTTTGGTTGACCCTGGAAGCAAAACACGCCACTAAGGACTCCCCAGTCACCTTGGGAAGAAGACCTTGTAGGGCAGCTTCCTTCTTGGCGCTGGCCAGCAGTCAGAACAGAGTAGCCCCAAATTACAGAATTGATATACCTGTCTACATGCACCGTTAACTGGATCAGCACACCCACATGCACAGAATCTCCTTTGCATGTATATTTCTTTTTCTTGCCCTTCTGGCGGCTATGAGTACTGGTGCGTGAGCCTGAGCCCGAGGCTGAATTAGGTGTGTCTTTGTATTCAGGGTCAGAGTCATGGTCAGGAGTGCGGGGTTTGGGGCCCAGTTTTAATGTAATGTGAGGAAGTTTCTGGGGAGGGTTCTCTGACGATGAAGAGGTGGCGTCCTCTGGAATAGAGTGCTTGGAACCAACAGCAAGGGGGTTCTGGGTCAGAGATAGGGTTGGACGAGTGAGTCATGCGGATGAGTCTTTGAGATACAGAAAAAGATGATTAGCCAAATATTAAACTAGTAGACCAAAGGGACAGGACTTGCACCCCCCTTCAAGCCGTTGATCAATCTCCAGAGGAACACTTGAGGACCTAGCAAAGACACGCTTGCATTGCTGAGGACGTGTTTGAGGGATATGTGCAGGTAGTGTAAGAGGAGCAAAAGTTAGAGGGCATGAGGAGGCACTACGTGAGGACACAGCACTCGGAGAACCAGGCTGAGATAGTAGAGGGAGCCAGTCAGGTGCGCCACTCAGGGCAGCAGTCAGGCACGTTCTTAATTCCGCTGCGAGTAGGGTCTAGAGAAACTCCTGGGACAGAGAGAGCAGCTAGGAAAGAAGCAGCAACGTCCGAGGACAGAGGAACATAGAGGGTGGGCATTTCGAGCAGTAGCTGAATTCTGGCAAAGTTTTTCCAAAACTCAACGTGTCTTGTCACAGACTCACATATTGCAGTACGGATTTGTTCCTTGCACACTATCGGCAGAATAGTTCAGTTGGAAAGAGCACTAATAGCACAATCACTTAGAGGTCCCTGATTCAATTCCGGGTTCAGCCATTTTCCAACATCACACGGCGTTACCTGGACGTGTTCGTGCAAGGACTGAAGCAGCTGTAGTGGCAGAGTTCCAAGAAAGGAAATTTGCTCTTTGTTCTTTTCCACCCATAAGCACTTGCACTGGAGCCCTTTAAGAAGTCAAGAGATTCATGTTAAGAAGAAAACCCGGCACAAAAGAGAGGTATATCCCTCAAATTCTGGCCGTGTGCCAGAAACGCGTTGGCACAATGCATTGCCATCACAATAGGTGTCTTCCCACCTACTCGCCCAAAGTGGGTCCATTTATTAACCAAATTGTGTTCTATTTCCTTGAACTAAGGCTTCTGGGGCGGATTTAGGATGTTCCCTCTGGGCTGAAAGGAACAAATCTATACTGTAACACCACCAAGGAGGTCAGCCGGCTGCTTTGCCGCTTCAAACAGGTGACTTGCACTCATTGGTATACCAAAGAGCTGCCATCTGAGGCAGCCACACTGTGATAAGGACCATGATGTTGGTATCAAAAGATATGTGATTCAAATTCAATTACGTTCGTCCTCTAGAGGGGAAGGAAGGTATAGTCAAATGATAGAGCAGAAGGTCGGTGTGCAAATCGGCCTTCTATGAGTGGTAGGTGTGTGTGTGTAGGTGTGCATGAATGGTTATTTGTAGAGACTGTTCGTCTCCTGGGTGTGGACGTGTGCGGCGGACCTGTTGTCAGTGAAAATGGTAAAGAAGGTGTGAATGCCTAAACCTGGTTCCCCGTACGAGAGTACTGGAACCCTAAATGTGTTGCCCCGTCTGCTTTCCTTCATGCGCTCTTCCCCTTAGAACCAGCGCTGGAGATGCAATGTGTGTCGCTCAGACAATGACACCAACATTGTTTGATCAATGGCGAGACAGTCGGTCTTGTTGGCTACAGACAGCAATTGTATGTGATGGCTTCTCTCTGGGCCTGTTTTCTACTGAGCAAAGCTCACGAGAACAATGATCATAATTGAAGAAGCCTGGGATTGTGACACCGGGTCCGGTGAGAAGGACCCTGCTGATGGAGGTGTGAGAGGTGAGACGCCGACGAATAAGCAAGTATAAGATGTGTGGCCTGCCTCTGGCAGTGGGCGAGGAGGAGGGTGCACAAGAGGTATGAGGTGGGGGAAGGCTGGCTGTTTGTCAAATTACACTTTTGGAGCGACGTGAGACCACACTCATGCACATCGCTGCTCGTGTATAGAAGAAAGCCCACAGAACTTTTGCCAAAACCACTCCGACTCCAGTTGCTCAGGGACAAAAGCACAAGCTCTCAAAGTCTAAAATGTATGTGCCATTCAATGAGCATGAGGCCCTGCCATACACCACACCCGAGCAACACCATCATATTTTGTCATCCCGCAACTTTTCTTTGCATGTCTCCTCATGACTCACAAAATATGCTGATGATCCTGTGACCAAGGTATGTCTATAATGATCAATTGAATTGTGTGTTGACGACCAGCCGGTGTGAGGTCTCCGAGCATGCTACGCACTGCTCGTTGCCTCATGGCCCCTGCGAACCATCTGCACGAGTGACGGGACGAGCTTGGATGTACGCGACAGATCTTTCATAGCGGGATTCTACGTTACCGGAAGCAGCTTCTGAGCGAGACCAACACTCTCCCCACGATCTGAAACAACTTCTTGCCTCTCGAACTTGCCCCCGCACAATCATCAGCAGGTTAAGACAATTCCCCGGGTCTAGACTCTTAGCTCCTTCCTACAACGCGAGGGCGGCGAGCGACCATCTGTATACACATCTCTGATGAACGAGACCGACACTCTCCTGACCGACACGGATGACGCGCTTCACTGATAGTCATCAACACATGATACAACCGGTCCCCTCCTGTGGCGGAACGTGTAGACGACCTCTCCTGTTGCCATTTCCAGACAACCTCTCGCACTGGGCGGACCTTGCCTGTGCCTGACACCAATCCAGCGGACGAGGCAGAACTTATCCCGACACTGCCTTCTCCCCCACTTCACACGACACATCGACTAGCTGAGGGAGACCACTTGTCTCATGTCCATCCTGAATGCTCAAGCACCTTCTGACGTGACCAACTGGCTGTGCCTGAAGCTCCGAACGTGTTCTGAGGCTCCTTGGCCTCGCTGTGCCTCGTATGCACCCAAAGATGATCGGTCTCCTCAGCAGAGGCGTCGAGTCTCCTGCCGTATATGCACCCTGAAACACCTCATGTCGTCCCCTGCCCCCTGGAAACACCTGCGACCCGCATGGCACCTCTGGAAACGTGGGAAGTTGTCGAGGAGGTATAAAAGGGAGTGCATTTAGTAGGAGTAGTCAGTACCTTCCAGCCTGCAGAAGTAGCTTTTGGGGTGTTTTCCCCCACTCTCTGTATCACACTCACTCAATCTAAAGGGGTACTCCCAGCCTTCCCCCACCTTGTACCTCTTGTGCACCCTCCTCCTCGCCCACTGCCAGAGGCAGGCCACACATCTTATACTTGCTCGTTCGTCGGCGTCTCACCTCTCACACCTCCATCAGCAGGGTCCCTTCTCACCGGACCCGGTGTCACAATCCCAGGCTTCCTCGATTAGGATCACCGTTCTCGTGAGCTTCGCTCAGTAGAAAACAGGCCTGGAGAGAAGCCATTACATACGATTGCTGTCTGTAGCCAACAGGACCCACTATCTTGCCATTGATCAAACAATGTTGGTGTCATTGTCTGAGCGACACACATTGCATCTCCAGCGCTGGTTCTAAGGGGAAGAGCGCATGAAGGAAAGCAGACGGGGCAACACATTTAGGGTTCCTGTACTCTCGTACGGGGAACCAGGTTTAGGCATTCACACCTTCTTTACCATTTTCACTGACAACAGGTTCGCCGCACACGTCCACACCTAGGAGATGAACGGTCTCCATAAATAACCGTTCATGCACACCTATACACATACACACACACACACATACACCTACCACTCATAGAAGGCCGATTCTTGCACCGACCTTCTGCTCTATCATTCAACTATACCTTCCCCTCTAGAGGACAAATGTAGTCAAATTTGAATCACATATCTTTCGATACCGACACTGCGGTCCTTATCACACCAGTACTAGGACTTCCTTCCAAAGCTTCAGGAGCACCTGTTGAGCTGTCTTTCCCATCCTGAGTGGTCTGGAGATGGCACAGAATGGTTCAAGCTCGCAATAAAGAACCACCGCATCTATTGCCATACTGCCTCAACCCACAGATTCACTCGGATATCCCGTACCTCGCGCCAGACAGAGACGAGTCCCATCCATTTTCCTACGCCCAGATTATCGGAATCTTCTATGCTGATGTTGTGAACACAGCTCCTGGCGCCAATCCCAAACTGAATCCATGGAGTTTCTGTGGATCCAGTGCTACAAATGTTGAACAGGCAAGCACAGAGGTCTGGAGTCAACAGTAAGAACTCTGGCATAAGATGAAACTACTTGCCTGGAGTCAACAGTAAGAACTGAAGATCCAGGGCAATGCTACTCTACTTATATACCTATGAGAACAATAGAGTAGCTAGAACAATAAGAACAATAAGAACAATAGACACAATAAGATGGCTATCAAGACAATAGAGACAATAGAGACAATAGGATGGATGGCAAGACAATAAGATTGTTATCAGGACAATAAGATCCCGATCAGATAAGAGGATCAGATAAGATCAGAGAGATCAGATAGGATCAGATAAGGAGATCAATGATCACGGATCACAGAGGATTAGATCAGATCAAAGATGCGAGAATGTCACAGTCCATTCACACACTCCAACAACAAATTGGATTGCACATGGCATGGCGGGTTCAAGAAGAAACAGTTGTTCTGCCTTGAATTTCTTCCTGAAGCTGACCTAGACACATTTTGGTTCTTGAACCTGGATGAAGTGATCCGTGGCTTGCACATTATACCCGCATTTTCCCGTGGTACGACTGAGGATCTTCTATCCAGTGGCTCCATTGGACGTCTGCATGATCAAGACTGGTGGTATTACTATGTGAACTTGTATGTCTTGAAATTTCTTGCAGTTTTCTTGAACTAATTATACCTCAAGCTTCGTTGACCGAAACATGTACATGTGCTACCGAGGCGGTGGCGTTGGGTATTATCAAGTACCCATTCTGCCAGAAGAGGACATTCCAGACTTCATGCCTGACAACAATCAGGACGATGACCCAGAGCCAGTAATCCCGATTCCAAAAGTGATCCTACCTCCACTTGCTATGCCTCCAGGAACACAAGAGTTTCCTGCATACCTGACCCGATTCACCAGACTCGGAGAATGGAGATGATGATTCCAACGACTTGAGCTCTGATGAAGAGGCTCCAGATGACAACAACAAGGAGGTGGAAGAGCCAGATCTGAAACTGGAGGATGGTCTGGGGCATGTTGACGAGGAGGTGGAAGAAGGTTATGCTATTTTGTAATTTTTTTTTTGCACAATGACACTTTTCATTTTCAATATTATTCAAATTACGTGCAGAATGTGAATAGACAGACACATCAATAATGATTTGAATACCGACCTTGCCTTAGATCAGAGAGCATCCACATTATTACTGGCAAAAAAGGAGACGTATGTGGGACCGTACCAGACAATAGCTTCCTGCCTGCCCTATTGAGCCGATAGCCGCACACACCTGAGACTTAAAAGTGGGAAAGTGGTACCGGCCCAGGCCCATCAAGCCCCTAACTTTTCATCTTGATTCCGCTGCTCATAGCTGTTCTCTTCCTTCTCTTTCTACTTGCTCTCCCAGCCGTAGTACTTGCTTGGAGCTGGGGTTTAAAAGCAAGAAATGCTATGGTGGTCCAATCTGAACACCACCACAAAGCAATAAACCCTAAAATTATCTTGCTCGATAATGTAATCCTACAATATGGTGCCAGTGATCACTATTCAGCTCAACTGGCAAGTCAACAAGGCTTTCTGATATTGTCAACTATGAAATTGACATAGTTTCCAGGGTGATTAGCTGTGGAAAAGTTGG